GCTACACTCTCACCACCGTCACACATTTCTTCGGAGCTATCAGCCCAAAGAAAAAAAGCGCCACACCCCACCGGGTGGGCTCGAACTTCCAACATTTCGGTTAACAGCCGATCGCGCTAGCCATGGCGCCACGGAGACAGTCGTGCTCCACGCTCACCACCGTCAACATTTCTTCAGAGCTACCAGCTCAAAAAAAAGCGCCGCCCCACCACCTGGTGGGCTAGACCTCCAACCTTTTGTTAACAGCGGATCGCGCTACCCAATTGGGCCACGGAGACAGTCGTGCTCCACTCTCAACACCATTAGAACATATCTTCAAAGCTATCAGCGCAAAGAAAAAAGCTACACACCACTCCCGGAGGGCTCAAACCTCCAATTTTTGGTTAACAGCCGAACGTGCTGGCCAATTGCGCCACGGAGACAGTCTTGCTCAGATCTCACCACCATGAGAACATGTCTCTAAAGTTATCAGCGCAAAGAAAAAAGCAACACACCACTCCCAGGAGGGCTCGAACCTCCAACCTTTCGCTTAACAGCCGATCGCGCTAGCAAATTGCGCCACGGAGGCAGTCCTGCTATATTCTCACCACCATCAGAACATATCTTCAAAGCTATCAGCCCAAAGAAAAAAAGCGCCGCACCACCACCGGGTGGGCTCGAACCTCAAACATTTTTGTTAACAGCCGATCGCGCTAGCCAATTGCGCCACGGAGACAGTCCTGCTCTACTCTCACCACCATCAGAACATATCTTCAAAGCTATCAGCTCAAAAAAAAAAGCGCCGCACCCCTACCGGGTGGGCTCGAACCTCCAACCTTTCGGTTAACAGTCGACCGCGCTAGCCAATTGCGCCACGGAGACAGTCCTGCTTCACTCTCACCACCATCAGAACATCTTCAAAGCTATCACCCATAGAAAAAGCCAGCACCACCACCGGTTGTGCTCGAACCTCCAACCTTTCGGTTAACAGCCGATCGCGCTAGCCAATGGCGCCACAGAGACAGTCGTGCTCCACTCCTCACCACCATGAGAACATCATCTTCAAAGCTATCAAGCGAAAAGAAAAAAAAAAAGCGACACACCGTCGCCGTGGTGGGCTCAAACCTCAACCTCCTCGGTTAACAGCCGATCGCGCTAGCCAATCGCGCCACGGAGACAGTCCTGCTATACTCTCACCACCATCAGAACATATCTTCAAAGCTATCAGTCCAAAGAAAAAAAGCGCCGCACCACTCCGGGTGGCTCGAACATCGAAACCTTTCGTCTAACAGCCGATAGCGCTAGCCAATGGGCGCCACGGAGACAGTCCGTGCTCCACTCTCACCACGTCACAACATTTCTTCGGAGCTATCAGCCCAAGAAAAAAAGGCGCCGCACCACAACCGGGTGGGCTCGAACCTCCAACCTTCGGTTAACCGCGACGCGCTAGCCAATGGAGCCACGGAGACAGTCGTGCTCCACGCTCACCACCGTCAGAACATTTCCTTCAGAGCTACCAGCTCAAAAAAAAAGCGCCGCACCACCACCTGGTGGGCTAGAACCTCCAACCTTTACGTTAACAGCGGATCGCGCTACCCAATTGGGCCATGGAGACAGTCGTGCTCCACTCTCACTAACATCAGAACATATCTTAAAAGCTATCAGCCCAAAGAAAAAAAAGCGGCGCACCACCCCCGCGTGGGCTCGAACCTCCATCCTTTCTGTTAACAGCCGATCGCGCTAGCCAATTGCGCCACGGAGACAGTGAGGCTCCACTTTCACCACCGTCAGAACATTTCTTCAGAGCTATCAGCCCAAAGAAAAAAAAGCAACACACCACTCCCGGGAGGGCTCGAACCTCCAACCTTTCGGTTAAGAGCCGATAGCGCAAGCCAATTGCGCCACGGAGACAGTCGAGCTCCACTCTCACCACCGTCAGAACATTTTTTCGGAGCTATCACCCCAAAGAAAAAAAAACGCCGCACCACCACCGGGTGGGCTCGAACCTCCAACCTTTCGGTTAACAGCCGGTTGCGCTAGCCAATGGCGCCACAGAGACAGTCGTGCTCCACTCTTCCCACCATGAGAACATATCTTCAAAGCTATCAGCGAAAAGAAAAAAAAGCGACACACCGTCCCCAGTGGGCTCGAAACTCCAAGCTTTCGGTTAACAGCCGATCACGCTAGCCAATTGCGCAACGGAGACAGTCCAGCTCCACTCTCACCACCATCAGAACATATCTTCAAAGCTATCAGCCCAAAGAAAAAAAAGTGCCTCACCACCACCGGTGGGCTCGAACCTCCAACCTTTCGGTTAACAGGCGATCGCGCTAGCCAATGGCGCCACAGAGACAGTCGTGCTCCACTCTCACCACCATGAGAACATATCTTCAAAGCTATCAGCGAAAAGAAAAAAAGCGCCGCACCACTCTGGGTGGGCTCGAACCTCCAACCTTTCGTCTAACAGCCGATAGCGCTAGCCAATGGCGCCACGGAGACAGTCGTGCTCCACTCTCACCACCGTCACAACATTTCTTCGGAGCTATCAGCCCAAAGAAAAAAAGCGCCGCACCACCACCGGGTGGGCTCGAACCTCCAACCTTTCGGTTAACAGCCGATCGCGCTAGCCAATGGCGCCACGGAGACAGTCGTGCTCCACCCTCACCACCGTCAGAACATTTCTTCAGAGCTATCAGCCCAAAGAAAAAAAAGTGCCTCACCACCACCGGGTGGGCTCGAACCTCCAACTTTTCGGTTAACTGCAAATCGCGCTAGCCAACTGCGCCACAGAGACAGTCGTGCTCCACTCTCACCACCATCAGAACATATCTTCAAAGCTATCAGCGAAAAGAAAAAAAAAGCGACACACCGTCCCCGGGTGGGCTCGAAACTCCAACCTTTCGGTTAACAGCCGATCGAGCTAGCCAATTGCGCCACGGAGACAGTCCTGCTCCACTCTCACCACCATCAGAACATATCTTCAAACAATCAGGTCAAAGAAAAAAAAGCGCCGCGCCACTACCGGGTGGGCTCGAAACTCCAAGCTTTCGGTTAACAGCCGATCGCGCTAGCCAATTGCGCCAGGGAGACAGTCCTCCTATACTCTCACCACCAGCAGAACATATCTTCAAAGCTATCAGTCCAAAGAAAAAAACGCCGCACCACTCCAGGTGGGCTCGAACCTCCAACCTTTCTTCTAACAGCCGATCGCGCTAGCCAATTGCGCCACGAGACAGTGAGGCTCCACTTTCACCACCGTCAGAACATTTCTTCAGAGCTATCAGCCCAAAGAAAAAAGCAACACACCACTCCCGGGAGGGCTCGAACCTCCAACCTTTCGGTTAACAGCCGATAGCGCTAGCCAATTGCGCCACGGAGACAGTCGTGCTCCACTCTCACCACCGTCAGAACATTTTTTCGGAGCTATCAGCCCAAAGAAAAAAAAGCGCCGCACCACCACCGGGTGGGCTCGAACCTCCAACCTTTCGGTTAACAGCCGATCGCGCTAGCCAATGGCGCCACAGAGACAGTCGTGCTCCACTCTCACCACCATTAAACTAGCTTCAAAGCTATCAGCGAAAAAGAAAAAAGCGCCGCACCACTCTTTGTGGGCGCGAACTCCAGCCTTCGCTAACAGCCGATAGCGCAGCCATGCGCCAGGAGACAGTCGTGTCAAACTCTACCACCGTCCAACATTTCTTCGGAGATATCACCCAAAAAAAAAAAAGGGCCGCAACCAACCCCGGGTGGCTCGAACCTCCAACATTTCGTTAACATCCGATCGCGCTAGCCAATGGCGCCACGGGACAGTCCGTGCTCCACGCGTCACCCCGTCCAGAAAATTTCTTCAGAGCTACCAGCTCAAAAAAAAAAAAGGCGCCGCCCACCCCCTGGTGGGCTAGCCCTCCAACCTTTAACGTTAAACTCGGATCGCGCTACCCATTGGGCCACGAGACAGTCTTGCTCCACTCTCAAACACCATAGAACATATCTTCAAAGCTATCATCGCCAGAAAAAAGCTCACACGCACTCCCGGAGGGCTCAAACCTCCAATTTTTTGGTTAACAGCCGAACGTGCTGGCCAATTGCGCCACGGAGACAGTCTTGCTCCACGCTCACCACCGTCAGAACATTTCTTCAGAGCTACCAGCTCAAAAAAAAGCGCCGCACCACCACCTGGTGGGCTAGAACCTCCAACCTTTACGTTAACAGCGGATCGCGCTACCCAATTGGGCCACGGAGACAGTCGTGCTCCACTCTCAACACCATTAGAACATATCTTCAAAGCTATCAGCGCAAAGAAAAAAGCAACACACCACTCCCGGGAGGGCTCAAACCTCCAATTTTTCGGTTAACAGCCGAACGTGCTGGCCAATTGCGCCACGGAGACAGTCTTGCTCAGATCTCACCACCATGAGAACATGTCTCTAAAGTTATCAGCGCAAAGAAAAAAGCAACACACCACTCCCAGGAGGGCTCGAACCTCCAACCTTTCGCTTAACAGCCGATCGCGCTAGCAATTGCGCCACGGAGGCAGTCCTGCTATAATCTCACCACCATCAAACATATCTTCAAAGCTATCAGCCCAAAGAAAAAAAACTGCCGCACCACCACCGGGTGGGCTCGAACTTCTAACTTTTCGGTTAAATGCAAATCGCGCTACCCAACTGCGCCACGGAGACAGTCGTGCTCCACTCTCACCACCATCAGAACATATCTTCAAAGCTATCAGCGAAAAGAAAAAAAAAGCGACACACCGTCCCCGGGTGGGCTCAAACCTCCAACCTCTCGGTTAACAGCCGATCGCGCTAGCCGATTGCGCCACGGAGACAGTCCTGCTATACTCTCACCACCATCAGAACATATCTTCAAAGCTATCAGTCCACAGAAAAAAAGCGCCGCACCACTTTGGGTGGGCTCGAACCTCCAACCTTTCGTCTAACAGCCGATGGCGCTAGCCAATTGCGCCACGGAGACACTGAGGCTCCACTTTCACCACCATCAGAACATATCTTCAAAGCTATCAGCGCAAAAAAAGCGACACACCCTCCCGTGGGGCTCGAACCTCCAACCTTTCGGTTAACAGCCGATCAGCGCTAGCCAATTGCGCCACGGAGACAGTCCTGCTCCACTCTCACCACCATCAGAACATATTTCAGAGCTATCAGCCCAAAGAAAAAAAAGCGCCGCACTACCCCGTGTGGCTCGAACCTCCAACCTTTCGGTTAACAGCCGATCGCGCTACGCCAATTGCGCCAGGGAGACAGTCGTGCTCCACTCATCACCTAACATCAGAACATATCTTCAAAGCTATCAGTCCAAAGAAAAAAAAGCGCCGCACCACTCCCGGGTGGGCTCGAACCTCCAACCTTTCGTCTAAACAGCCGATCGCGCTAGCCAATGGCGCCACGGAGACAGTCGTGCTCCACTCTCACCACCAGCAGAACATTATCTTCAGGAGCTATCAGCTCAAAGAAAAAAAAAGCGCCGCAGCCACCACCGGGTGGGCTCGAACCTCCAACTTTCGGTTAACAGCCGATCGCGCTAGCCAATGGCGCCACGGAGACAGTCGTGCTCCACGCTCACCACCGTCAGAACATTTCTTCAGAGCTACCAGCTCAAAAAAAAAGCGCCGCACCACCACCTGGTGGGCTAGAACCTCCAACCTTTACGTTAACAGCGGATCGCGCTACCCAATTGGGCCACGGAGACAGTCGTGCTCCACTCTCAACACCATTAGAACATATCTTCAAAGCTATCAGCGCAAAGAAAAAAGCTACACACCACTCCCGGGAGGGCTCAAACCTCCAATTTTTTGGTTAACAGCCGAACGTGCTGGCCAATTGCGCCACGGAGACAGTCTTGCTCAGATCTCACCACCATGAGAACATGTCTCTAAAGTTATCAGCGCAAAGAAAAAAGCAACACACCACTCCCAGGAGGGCTCGAACCTCCAACCTTTCGCTTAACAGCCGATCGCGCTAGCAAATTGCGCCACGGAGGCAGTCCTGCTATATTCTCACCACCATCAGAACATATCTTCAAAGCTATCAGCCCAAAGAAAAAAAAGCGCCGCACTACCACCGGGTGGGCTCGAACCTCCAACCTTTCGGTTAACAGCTGATCGCGCTCGCCAATTGCGCCATGGAGACAGTCGTGCTCCACTCTCACTAACATCAGAACATATCTTAAAAGCTATCAGCCCAAAGAAAAAAAGCGGCGCACCACCCCCGGGTGGGCTCGAACCTCCATCCTTTCTGTTAACAGCCGATCGCGCTAGCCAATTGCGCCACGGAGACAGTCGTGCTCCACACTCACCACCATCAGAACATATCTTCAAAGCTATCAGCGCAAAAAAAAAGCGACACACCGTCCCCAGTGGGCTCGAAACTCCAGCTTTCCGGTTAACAGCCGATCACGCTAGCCAATTGCTGCAACGGAGACAGTCCAGCTCCACTCTCACCCACCATCAGAAACATATCTTCAAGGCTATCAGCCAAAAGAAAAAAAGCGCCGCACTACCACCGGGTGGGCTCGAACCTCCAACCTTTCGGTTAACAGCTGATCGCGCTCGGACATTGCGCCATGGAGACAGTCGTGCTCCACTCCTCACTAAACTCAGAACATATCTTAAAAGCTATCAGCCCAAAGAAAAAAAGCGGCGCACCACCCCCGGGTGGGCTCGAACCTCCATCCTTTCTGTTAACAGCCGATCGCGCTAGCCAATTGCGCCACGGAGACAGTCGTGCTCCACTCTCACCACCATCAGAACATATCTTCAAAGCTATCAGCGCAAAGAAAAAAAAGCGACACACCGTCCCCGGAGTGGGCTCGAAACTCCAACCTTTCGGTTAACAGCCGATCGCGCTAGCCAATTGCGCCACGGAGACAGTCCTGCTCCACTCTCACCACCATCAGAACATATCTTCAAAGCTATCAGCTCAAAGAAAAAAAGCGCCGCACCAGCTACCGGGTGGGCTCGAACCTCCAACCTTTCGGTTAACAGCCGATCGCGCTCGCCAATTGCGCCATGGAGACAGTCCGTGCTCCACTCTCACCACCATCAGAACATATCTTCAAAGCTATCAGCTCAAAGAAAAAAAAGCGCCGCACCACTACCGGGTGGGCTCGAACCTCCAACCTTTCGGTTAACAGTCGACCGCGCTAGCCAATTGCGCCACGGAGACAGTCCTGCTTCACTCTCACCACCATCAGAACATATCTTCAAAGCTATCAGCCCATAGAAAAAAGCCAGCACCACCACCGCGTGTGCTCGAACCTCCAACCTTTCGGTTAACAGCCGATCGCGCTAGCCAATGGCGCCACAGAGACAGTCGTGCTCCACTCTCACCACCATGAGAACATATCTTTAAAGCTATCAGCGAAAAGAAAAAAAAAAGCGACACACCGTCGCCGGGTGGGCTCAAACCTCCAACCTCTCGGTTAACAGCCGATCGTGCTAGCAACTCGCGCCGCGGAGACAGTCCTGCTATACTCTCACCACCATCAGAACATATCTTCAAAGCTATCAGCCCAAAGAAAAAAGCGCCGCACCACTCCGGGTGGGCTCGAACATCGAACCTTTCGTCTAACAGCCGATAGCGCTAGCCAATTGCGCCACGGAGACAGTCGTGCTCCACTCTCACCACCGTCACAACATTTCTTCGGAGCTATCAGCCCAAAGAAAAAAAAGCGCCGCACCACCACCGGGTGGGCTCGAACCTCCAACCTTTCGGTTAACAGCCGATCGCGCTAGCCAATGGCGCCACGGAGACAGTCGTGCTCCACGCTCACCACCGTCAGAACATTTCTTCAGAGCTACCAGCTCAAAAAAAAGCGCCGCACCACCACCTGGTGGGCTAGAACCTCCAACCTTTACGTAACAGCGGATCGCGCTACCCAACTGCGCCACGGAGACAGTCGTGCTCCACTCTCACCACCATTCAGAACATATCTTCAAAGCTATCAGCGCAAAGAAAAAAGCAACACACCACTCCCGGGAGGGCTCAAACCTCCAATTTTTCGGTTAACAGCCGAACGTGCTGGCCAATTGCGCCACGGAGACAGTCTTGCTCAGATCTCACCACCATGAGAACATGTCTCTAAAGTTATCAGCGCAAAGAAAAAAGCAACACACCACTCCCAGGAGGGCTCGAACCTCCAACCTTTCGCTTAACAGCCGATCGCGCTAGCAAATTGCGCCACGGAGGCAGTCCTGCTATACTCTCACCACCATCAGAACATATCTTCAAAGCTATCAGCCCAAAGAAAAAAAACTGCCGCACCACCACCGGGTGGGCTCGAACTTCCAACTTTTCGGTTAACTGCAAATCGCGCTAGCCAACTGCGCCACGGAGACAGTCGTGCTCCACTCTCACCACCATCAGAACATATCTTCAAAGCTATCAGCGAAAAGAAAAAAAAGCGACACACCGTCCCCGGGTGGGCTCAAACCTCCAACCTCTCGGTTAACAGCCGATTGCGCTAGCCGATTGCGCCACGGAGACAGTCCTGCTATACTCTCACCACCATCAGAACATATCTTCAAAGCTATCAGTCCACAGAAAAAAAGCGCCGCACCATTTTGGGTGGGCTCGAACCTCCAACCTTTCGTCTAACAGCCGATGGCGCTAGCCAATTGCGCCACGGAGACACTGAGGCTCCACTTTCACCACCATCAGAACATATCTTCAAAGCTGTCAGCGCAAAAAAAAGCGACACACCGTCCCCAGTGGGCTCGAAACTCCAAGCTTTCGGTTAACAGCCGATCACGCTAGCCAATTGCGCAACGGAGACAGTCCAGCTCCACTCTCACCACCATCAGAACATATCTTCAAAGCTATCAGCCCAAAGAAAAAAAGCGCCGCACTACCACCGGGTGGGCTCGAACCTCCAACCTTTCGGTTAACAGCTGATCGCGCTCGCCAATTGCGCCATGGAGACAGTCGTGCTCCACTATCACTAACATCAGAACATATCTTAAAAGCTATCAGCCCAAAGAAAAAAAGCGGCGCACCACCCCCGGGTGGGCTCGAAACTCCAACCTTTCGGTTAACAGCTGATCGCGCTAGCCAATTGCGCCACGGAGACAGTCCTGCTCCACTCTCACCACCATCAGAACATATCTTCAAAGCTATCAGCTCAAAGAAAAAAAAGCGCCGCGCCGCTACCGGGTGGGCTCGAACCTCCAACCTTTCGGTTAACAGCCGATCGCGCTCGCCAATTGCGCCATGGAGACAGTCGTGCTCCACTCTCACTAACATCAGAACATATCTTCAAAGCTATCAGCCAAAAGAAAAAAAAGCGGCGCACCACCCCCGGGTGGGCTCGAACCTCCATCCTTTCTGTTAACAGCCGATCGCGCTAGCCAATTGCGCCACGGAGACAGTCGTGCTCCACTCTCACCACCATCAGAACATATCTTCAAAGCTATCAGCTCAAAGAAAAAAAGCGCCGCGCCGCTACCGGGTGGGCTCGAAACTCCAAGCTTTCGGTTAACAGCCGATCGCGCTAGCCAATTGCGCCACGGAGACAGTCCTGCTCTACTCTCACCACCATCAGAACATATCTTCAAAGCTATCAGCCAAAGAAAAAAAAGCGCCGCACCACCACCGGTGGGCTCGAACCTCAAACATTTTGTTAACAAGCCGATCGCGCTAGCCAATTGCGCCACGGAGACAGTCCTGCTTCACTCTCACCACCATCGAACATTCTTCAGAGCTATCAGCCTAAAGAAAAAAAGCGCCGCCCCACCCCTGTGGGCTCGAACCTGCCAACCTTTACGTTAACAGCGGATCGCGCTAGCCAATTGGGCCCGGAGACAGTCGTGCC